GAGGCGGTGTTGCACCTTTAAATGCCATGAAACTCCGCAGGCCGAACAGCACCGGGCAAACCATAGACAAGAAGATAACCTGAAGACGGACACAAAAATACAACACAGATCGTGAGTGCGCGAGCTCTCCTGCGCGTTCTCTTTATGTGCACCGGTGCGCAGCATTAGCATATGCAAGCGCCCATCCTATCGTATCACACAGAAAGTCTTCAACCACGCCTTCTGCTAACTCTAGAATAACAAGCAAAAATACTAGCTGCGTCTTTGACACCCTGTACAAACACAGTCAAGACTAGGGGATAAGCGCGGCTAAAGCAGCGCGATCTCTACACGGCGTTTAGTCCGTACTCGTCTGACGATGCTGCTCTTTCTTGGCGCAGATTTCCCTCTCTCTGAAACCTTTTTCGCCACCTGCGCGCCACCACCACGAAAGCAGAAATGCCGGGATATTTTGCTCCCCTATCCTGCTCTATTAATTGGTGCCAAGTGGCAATTAAGGCTTCTTCGGACGAAGGAAGCAAAAGGATCGTCTATCTGCGCGCTGAACAGAGATCAGCGCTGCATACTGCGTGCTTGCCTTGATTCCATAGAAGAGGAAAGCGATGGCTTCCGTCCCGAACAGCAGCGCTTCTAATCCTTGCAGGAAGGCGCAAGCAGCTCTCTTGGCTTGGAGCAGCACCGCGACAGAAACACAGAAAGCGTAAGACACAAATAGCACCACAGAAAGAACCGAGTGCATTCGCCTGCAAGAAAGCAGCCAAACAAACACGTCTTTGGCGCCAGTAAGTGGCACAAACAAGATATATTTTCTTGCATATTTGCTCCGAAATATACGGACAAAGCTGGACGAATCAGTTCCCGTGGCACAGCTGATTCCTGAAGTCGACTCCGACTCACGAGAAGAGGGGGTAGGCCACAAGGTTAGCTGCGTAGTAAATTCTCGCCCAGAAGAGAATAACGAGAGAAACAGCACTACAGAAGATGAGCGAAGGTATCGAATCAAGCAGATAGACAATCCATTCTTCATCAAGCGAAAAGTTGAATGCCGGGGGCGGAGCCTCTCCACTGTCGGCTGCATTGTGTTCCGGCGTCTCGGGAGCCTCTTTGTGCTGCGGAGCCGAAAGCAGCTCTGCAGTCTGAAGCTGCACTCTTCGACACAAAAAAGCAGTCCCAAACAAGGCTACCGCCCGGCCTGAAACGCATTACCGAACAGCCACGCCGCAGTCGACAGCGCAGTGCAAACAAAAAGTGCCAAAGGGAAATGGAATTGTGTAACATATAGCGCAGTAGCACAGCTTCACGACCCTACTGATCAGTACTAGCGCGAAGTCATGAAATGCATCAAGTCACAAACACAGTGCAAGGGAAAAGGCACTGGACTAGCAAAGACGAGCTAATATCGCAGGCGGAATTGCGTGCTAAGGGTAAAACGCACACAATGAAGACGCGAAGAGTAAAGAAATGAAGGAAAAACGCGTCTGTCCGCCGCTCAGACTAATGCGTGACAGTGGCGCTGGGCTGTTCTCGCCAGAGGCATCCCCCGCTGGAAATGAAGGCTGGTTCTTTAAAGACGAATGCATCTTGAGCAGTTGCCGCAGCGTCAAGCCGCCTAGCAGCACAAATAACAGCCCCTCCCCCTCCATAAACAGGCATGGGGAGCCCGCAATGTCAATTGCCATATTGAAAAGAGGAAACGGTCTACTCCGGCCCACACGCCCTTCAGGATCCTGAATCCCCAACAGGGAAGTTCCCCGTTCGTCTAACACGCTTTTGAAGGTGCCCAGGGCTTCGACTGCCGGCGTCCGTTCTGGGAGACGAAAAAGCGGGGCAAGTGAAGGGGTAAAACAACAGAAACAATCCCTCCTGATATGCAACGATTACGGGGGAAGTAGCCCATATGTTGCGCTCCTATTGTTGCGAAAAAGGGTACACAAGAAGGCCTCCGCAAGCCCATTCGTCCATCAGCGAAAGTCTGCTGCAAAATGGGAATCGGCTCGCCGTTAGCTCCTGCATATGACTAAAACCCACCATCACACGCCACGCGCATGCACACTGGTGTTGCCGCGCTGAGCAGTGAACGGGAGTCGGTTCGAGGGTAAGAAGCGGAGTGGCGATCTGAAGACAGCTGAAAGTGCCGCTGGCTCGGTAAGCAACGGCCTAGGCTTTCCTTCTGCCCACGGCGGCTGCGCATCCCGGGAAGAGGAAAGGTGCGGGTCCAGCGAAATCGCCGGAACAGCACGCTCCTAGCAATGGCGAAAACAAACAAAGGGATAAAACAAACGAAGGTGAAGAGTTCTGGTGAGATATATGGAATGGCCCGCCGCGCAGCAGAAGCAAACGCAGTCACCCAGGCTTATGTGTGCATTTACAGAGGTGTTAAACCAAAGAGGATATATGTTTTCTGCTTAACATCAAATTACAGCCCTGTGAGCTGAAGCGATTCATCGTTCGTAAATTAAAGCACAGCAGCCTACTTGCTGCTGCATGCGACCAAAGGGAAGCCTTGGCAGAAGCCAGAAGCATGCACCCAAGTTATTTACATCCACGATTTGCGCTGTGCAGAGTGCAAGCCAAAACTGATTGCCAATTGATAAAACACAATTAATCTTTCAGAAAAAAAGCAAATTTGCATGAACAGCAGCATAGCAGCCCAACAGCAGCAGCACACAGGTGCTTTCTCAGATCTAAGGTGTTCTACCGGCACAGATCTTCCGCACATTTTTCCACCCGATGAACCCCGGCATCTGCATTTAGGAGGAATTATAATTCGTGATCTAAACCGTTTTGAATAGATTCTTCCATACGATCCAAAGACGCTGCCGGAAGTTCCAGAACGGCGTGCCTGAGTGACGCCGCCAGCCCGAAGTACCAACTTCAGCCGTTTGTGGGCCAGATAAATCGCAGACTTGTCACAAGAAATCATTTGGTTTTATGTAGCGGCACAAATCTGCCTGCAACTGCTTTTTTCGTTGAAAACCCGACAAAGGCTCAGTAGTGCCCTTGCGACGTGTAAGAATGCCTGTCGTGGGGGAGGCGGCCAACGCAGTTAACCACTGTCAGGAGGAGAGCATCTCAGTAGCTCTGAACAGATGGATCGCCAATGTAATTGCATATACCCAAGAAGGTGCAATTAAGAATCGATTGCTTGAACGTATGCTTGCTTGTGGCTGAGTCTGCTTGAGCCACAGTGTCACAGCAGGAGGTTATGAGCTTTTCTAGCACACTTCGCTGAAGGTGAAATATTATTCTCAAGTTCCAGGCCTTATTGCCACTGTTTTTGATCGGTGTGTTGCAAGTTATGCAAGTCAGTTCTCGCAGCTCTGTTCAAAGCTTCATTGCAATTCTTGGAGATGTCACTGTCACCACAACGCCAACTTTGTTCACAAACTACAGTATGGCAAATCGAAACTTGGGATTACGCCTCTATGCAAAGAGCACTCAGCACAGAGACTCTTAGCTGTCGGCACAAATTGCCGAGCATTACTGTGGGAATTCCGGTGCACTGCTTCGGCAGGAGTCCTGGTCTTGCCTACAGTGGCTGAGTGCAGCTTTCTCCTGCAGCGGAGTTCTTTTGGCCCATCTACTGTGTGCACTGTGCATAACTCTTATGTTTCGTGTGACAGTTTCGACTGAACAGGTGCTATAATTGCTCGCGAGCGAGAAGCACTTCTTGCTAACTCTTCTGGTTGCGGATTTCAGAGCGAGTTGGCAAGCATTGGCTGAGCGGCGTGCCTCCTTGGGTTGCGTTTCTTGATTCTTTATGTGGCATTCCATCTTAAGTCTCTCTGCAGTTTGGGGAGTGCTGCTGCTGCTGCTGCTGCTGCTGCTGCTGCTGCTGCCGCTGTGCATCATGCAGCTAGTGACAGGCTGCGCAGCATGCGTCAAACATAGGCTCCCAGAGTTAAAGTTACAAGTTGAACTTGGGGAGCTCCATGTCAATGGAAGTCAAAGCGCGGAATGCGTTTTTGCATTAAGAAGGCCTCAGGCCTTCCCTATGACTCACCGAAACGTTTGTTTTCCCGGAGGCCGGGCTTCTGATGATGAGCCAGATACAACTCGAAGTACTTTCGCGGGCCTGCCGAGACTTTCTTCCAGAAAACATAAATGCTTTCACAAACTCACGCTTATTAATGTACTCCCATTATATGCTTGGTTTATTAATGGGAACTTGGAAGCCAAAAATAACGCTAGAATTTGCTTTTTCCCACGCAACTTCAAGAGTCCGCCGTCGTGTCCGGCAGTCCGCAGCACAATCGCTGACTACTGTAGCGACTCAGGAAAAAGAAAAAGCTAAATAAGAATTAATAAAAAATTTCTGAATGAATTTGAAGACATGACAAGTTTATTAGGAGGACTTCGAGTGCAGTCGACTTTGTTCCATCACTCCAACGACTATGGCTACCACAGAACCTGATTCACCGTTTTACTTAGGTGCACAGCTACTGTCTTAAAGCTGCCCTAATATTACACATAAACTGCATTTCTCTTTTTAACACCATATTTACATTTAGAGGAAAACAGCCGGCTTTTTTAAAGTATGTAGAGGCCACCCACTTGCTGTGGCGATCGGCATCCAATCGTCGCTCTTTCGCATCGGCTTGGTGTTGGTTTCTCACCTAATGAGAAATTAACTACCCATCACTGCAGTTTCCCTCAATCTTGACAAAAGAGTGTTGCAGTACAACTTCTGCGGTCATTTAATCCCCCTACTGTTTGCGTTCTCTGCACATGCATTTCCCATTGCTCAGCCACAGCACACCTGAACGAAAGAGCCCATTGAAAGCTGCTAAAGGCCTATTCCTTTAGGCACATTAAAAGGAATTGGGTAGTCAACGGCAATATTCAGTGTCAATTCAATGTAGCTGAGCTTCCATGCATTCAAAACTTCCCCGATTTGAAGACACTCCGAGTCGTCAGTGCTTGTCTCGACCACAAAAGGCACATCTTCATTGTCTCACCACTTCATATCACTGATCCAATTCACAAAGACTTGATCGAGGATGAAGGAGGCAAGCAGTTGCGAATGGCAGATGTGGGACGTCTCCTTGACAGCTAACGAATTGGAGCGCATGCTATTGAGTCTAAAGAACCCACCATCCTTGCAAGAAGAAGCGGAAAACGCTGAAGACATAAAAAACAACTCCATTTCTCCGTCAGAAGATTGGAGCCACGAATGCCAGCACGTGGCCCTCGTGAATGTCGATTTGACAGCGGAATCGCTGCAGCAAATTGTGTGCGCCTTTTCTCGGCTATTTCTTCCTTCACTTTACGCCTTTCCTGGTGCATGCAGATTGCTGTGCGCTATACACTTGGAAAGCCTATATATACTTATATATATTTTCTGCTGTCTGCGCTCCCCTCTACGCAGTGCTCACAGATAGACTCTTTGCACTTTGCATGTGCTGCTACGTGGCGCTTTCAGCGATAAATGGATTGAGACACGGGCTGTTGAAAAGGTATTTTCTGTTTGTCTCGATGACAATGCGCTGGGAGAGAAAGCGGCAGGAGCTGTCTGCAAATTTCTGGCGAACGCGCCGCTCTTACGGGCAAGGAACTTCCGCCTCACACCACAACCTCACGCGCTGTGCATGCATGAGTGGTTGAATAAGTTCGTTTCAATAAGTTTGTTTCAATAAGTTTGTTTCAAGATTAATTTAAACCTTATTCGTGTACCAATTGAAGGTTGAGATACCTACGCTGGTGGGACATCCCAGCACTAAGAGATTGCACAGGCTCGCCGCCACCTCCCACACTGTCTACGGCCTACAGCCACAGGTCTTCCTTCATCTAAATGTTTTAATTTCTAGTGCTCTAATTGTGTTCTCCATAAAAAGTGAATTAAAACTCCATCGTGCAAACCAAAGCCTATTGCGCGTAAATCAACGAGGAGAAGGCGTGCCGGTGGGGGCGTGTTTTCCACGCAGTCGGGGTCTAAAATAAATAAATAAATGTATAAAAGCATTAATTTTCCACTTTTATTTTCAGTTCTGCATCTCTTTTCTTCCTCAGGAACTGTCGCTGCAGAACGTCGGCATGACAGACGCCTTCCTCTCGCGCCTGATTGGCCGCTGCGCCCAACTGGAGAAGAACAGGAAGCCACTTAAGGCGAGCCAGCAGAAGAGCATTCAGAGCATTAACTCAGTTTGCTGCAGTGCAGCAACACACAGTTTGCTGCACTGCAGCAAACTGTGCTGCACTGCAGCAAACTGTGCAGCGCGAGCTGCGCTTGCTGCTGAAGCGTGGAGGCCAGGCAGCAGTGCTGGGGCTGTGGCTGTGCTGCGTTCAGATTGACGCAAGAAACAACGGGCTGCTGACTTACAGAGCTTCCCTTTCTCTCAGTGCGGGCAAACGCTTTTTGCCAGAAAGCCTGACCATCCTTACTGATCTGCTGCCAGCGGACAGCCACAACTCGCTGTCTTAGTGGGTGCAGCAGCAGCAGCAGCAGCAACAGTGGCTCGGCTGACAGTGCAGAAACAAGAAAACGCGAAAAACGAACTGAACCACTTCGTTGATTTTATTACTTCTTCCTCTGATGCCCCTTATTCCATTTCTTGCTGTTCAAAGAACTGCAAAACTCGCTACAGTTGTGAGTACACTTCGCTGAGTTTAAGCAAGAACTAGAGGGTACGGGAAAAGGCTGTAGTTCAGATCGTCGTTATGAAACGTTCATTTGATAATAAAGAAGCCTTTTAAACAGTAATCGAGCCAGACTCTCTGTTCATAGCGCCAGCATCAACGCAATTCTTGCAAGAAGCCGCAAGTAAGCGGGAAACAGAGAACAAAAACGCCCTTCCACGGAAAAAAGGACTCACTCCCCACTTAGTTTTATTCCTGTGTTACATAAATGAGCCTGGGTATATAAGAAATGCTTGCATTTGTAAAGCGCTGCTGCATTCTGAAACATATTTCCACTACAGGAGGCCAGTGCAAAAGGCAGAGAAGTGGTGTTGCCTGCGATTTCTGCGGGTGCCGAGCCAAAGAGAGAACTCTTGAGATGAACATTGAATTAGCTCATTTGAATGATCTACTTGAAGTGGAGCGCTTTTATATTCAAGTAAATCAACTCTGCCGCAGCACGGTGGAGCACGCTGCCAGTGCTGTCGAGACGAGGCGGCGAAAGCGTCTCAAAAGAATCCACTCAAGTGCAACCATACACAAAAATCTACGAATTATGAGCAAGAAGTTCAATTAAAAGCCGTTAGGTCTTTTCAATTCACCAATATTCCACATGCGCACCCAATGGTAACTCGGGAACCCGGAGGCACAGCCGCAGCGGCTGTCGCCTCCCCAAGACAGTGCACGGCTGGGAGGGCGCTGGCTGGGTTGCACAGTTAAAACCAAACACTAGCGTTTTTGCAAAACGTTTAAACTCAAGAGAATGCAATGTCTCCGCCTGAATGACAGAGGAGCAACCAACCATCGACGGCGCGATGCACAGCTCCTCCCCCTGCACCCGAGTGTACCGGCCTTCGCATCCTGTCAAGCCCATTGCCTTAAGCCTCGCATTAATAGCAACTGTTTAACTAAAACTACAGAAGAAAAGACAGGAATTGGTGTGCAGTTGGGGCTCTGCTGGGCCGGTGACTTTCCCTTGCAGAGGCCGGTCGCTCTGGCAGAAGCCGCAACGAACCGTTCAAGAGGGGCGTTTTTGCGTCTGCTATTTGAATTATATCCCCTAATTCCCCTTTCTAAGCGTTTTAAACGTGGAAATAAATGAATAATAATGGAGTAGAGAAGCGCGAATGCTGTGCCTGCCCAAGTAACGTTTGGCTGCCGTGTGTGACGACGCAAGCCAGCCGGTCAGGCTGCGAGTACCTACAGCCCCACAGTCACCTTCCTGCGCCTTCTCGGGCTCAGATTGCAATGCCTCTTTGAATTGAAAGGCAGCAATTAGTGTTCCGTTCTCATTTGTTTCCCGTGGCTTTGTGATCTTGGCCGTGGGGCATCCTCGACGTCGAGACCGGAGAGCGGCGCAGCCGTTCAGTTTGAAGGTGGCAATGGCTTTTGGTTAAGTTTTGACCATTTTTTTCTCTCAGGAAGCCCATTTTAGGATTTATTTCAATCGCAGCGCTTCTTTGAGTCCCATTTCTGCGGCGGGTCGCCGCAGAGGTTCCGAATTCGGCACCCCAAGGATGTCAGGATCTTGCAAAAAGACACCTCAGTGACACAAAGGCTACTGATCTGGCCTCCGGCGACGCACTGAGCTGCTTGAATTTTCCATTTTCCGAGAGAAAACATCCGATGCGGGTGCCATGTGCTTGTTTTTGACGGATAAGCTCCGCTTCGGCCGTGCGAAACCGCGGCAGCAGCAGCAGCAGCAGCAGCAGCAGCAGCAGTAGGCAGCAGCAGTTTCGCCCCGCGATCGCCTCGCCCACGCCTCCCCCACAGTCTCCAGCATGGGCTCTTCTTCTCCAGAGGCCTATGAAGACACTCTTCCCCTGCGGGAACTTCCCACTGAGACCTCCCTGGGCGAGTCCGAGACCTGGGACTTGTACAGCTCGGCCAGCGAGGGCCCCCGGAGCTACGAGACGTCTCCGGCGTCGGACGAGCAGCTCTCGTGGATTGCGGAGCAGCAAACGGAGTCCCGCAGCACCAGGGGGGCCCCCCCCTCCCAAGGCCCCCAGCCTTAAACCCCTCCTGGCCCTCGTGGCACTGCTCGTGGGCGCGGCCTTCCTGGCCAGGGGGGCCCCCAGGCTCCTGGGGGCCCCCCAGTTGAGGCTCTTTGGCCAGCAACTCCCGAGCTTGGGGGCCCCCCAGGGGGACTTGGACACAGCTTTAGAGGCACAGAAGGACAATAAAGATGGTCTCGAAGATTTCAAATTTGCACAAGATGTCAAAGACGCTCTAGACGAGCTCGAACGCATTTTAGAAAGAGAAGATTTCGCGTAGAGGGGCCTGCTGCAGCAGCAGCAGCAGCAGCAGCAGCAGCAGCAGCAGCGGCGCAGGCGGCCTGGCAGTCGCGCTTGGCGCAGCAAATTCCTCTTCGCTTCGTTTCGTTTCTGCGGCCGATTTTTGGGCGATTTTATTTTTCGCATTTTCGCAAAATCAAAAAACATTTTCGGCAGGACGAAACGATTCAAGCTTGACGCGATGCTCCTTTGCCCCGTTCACAGCTAGCTAGCTAGCTAGCTGGCTAGCTAGCTAGGGTCCAGCTAGCCAGCTAGCTGGAGGTCCAGCTGGCTAGCTAGCTGGCTAGCTGGACGCTTGGGTAGCTCGATAGATATGTGGACAGCTAGCTGGACATGCTGCCGCCTAGCCACCTAACTAGCTAGGCAGCTAGCTAGCTAGCTAGCCATTTAGCTAGCTAGGCACCTAGCTAGCCATCTAGCTAGCTAGCTAGCTAGCTAGCTGGGCAGCTGCACCGCAGCGCGGTAGAGGGCTCTGTGCACTGCAGCAAACTCAGAGACAAAGCTGGCAGCAACTTTGAACTCAGCAGCAAAAACTTTTCAAAATTGAATTTCTAAAATTTCCTACAATTCATTTCAACTCCATTGACAGCTCGCAAACTTCAACTCCTCTCTTCGCACTGGCACGCAGCAGCGTGCAGCAGCAGCAGCAGCAGCGCAGCAGCAGCAGCAGCAGCGAAGCAGCAGCAGCAGCAGCAGCGCAGCAGCAGGGCAGGAGTAAAAGAGTTCCTTCCGACTTGAATGCATGCGGGATGATTTCAGCTGAACAGAAAATGGGTTTTCAGCTGAGCTGCTGCAGGCCTTTGTCTCTTTTTAGTTTTAGTTTTAATTTAGTTTTAATTTAATTTCAATTTTAATTTAATTTTAATTTAATTTTAATTTTAATTTTAGTTTTCATTATGTACTCAAATGCACAAGGTGTACTGACGGCCGGGAAGTGAGCGCTGCGGACTCCTCCAGCAGCCAAAGACAGCTAGCTGCTAGCTAGCTGCTAGCTAGCTGCTGGCTAGCTGTCAGCTAGCTGCTAGCTAGCTGCTGGCTAGCCGTTAGCTAGCTGCTAGCTAGCTGTCTTTCCTATTCCAAATGCTTCCCATCTACTCCTGCGTCTTCTTTCGCTTCTTATCTGTGCAGACGCTTTCAGCTGCTGCCCAGCAGCAGCACCAACAGCAGCAGCAGCAGCAGCAGCACCAACAGCAGCAGCAGCAGCAGCAGCAGCACCAACAGCAGCAGCAGCAGCAAAATGCGTTTTCTTCGATTAAACGCGTTTACGAGTCCGCGGCAGCAGCAAGTGAAATGAATTGCTGAAATCCGCAGAAGCCTCAAATAAAAGGAAGTGAAATGAAGTGCTGCAATTTGCAAAAGCCTCAAATCTAAAGCAGCAGCAGCAGCAGCAGCAGCAGCAGCAGCTGCTGCTGCTGCTGCTGCTGCCGTCTGCTGCAGCTGCCGTCTGCTGCAGCAGCCGTTATCCGCTGCAGCAGCGGCCCTCTATGCTGCAGCAGTCGCCCGCTCTGCTGCAGCAGCCGCCATTTGCTGCTGCAGCCGCGGTTTGCTGCAGCCGCCCCACTTGCTGCAGCAGGCGTCATCTGCTGCAGCAGCTCTTTGGAAGCAGCGGCGCAGGGGAGCTCTGCTGCTGCAGCAGGTCCGGGGCCGAAAGTCTCGTGTGCTGCGGCTTCCGCGCTGCTGCTGCTGCTGCTGCTGCTGCTGCTGCTGCTGCTGCTGCTGGTCACTGCAGCTGCTGCCTAATGAGGTCCTTCAACTTGTTCATGTCTGCAGCAAAGTTTCGAATGCCCTCCGCCAGCTTCTCCGTGGCCATTGCGTCTTCGTTTAACATCCAGCGAAAAGTTTTTTCATTTAAATGCAACTTTGCAATTTGCTGCTTCTTCGCCGACTGTACAGACAGCTTTGCTTCCACCTCCCCCTCCATTTGCTGCAGCTGCTGCAGCAGCTTCGGAGAGATCGTCAGTTTGTCGCAGCCCGCCAACTCCAAGATCTCCTCTGCAGCACAACACCCACAACCAGCCCACTCGCCCCCCCAATGGTCCACTGGTCCACTCCCGCAGCAGCAGCAGCAGCAGCAGCAGCACTCCCCTCCCGCAGCAGCAGCAGCACTCCCCCCCGCAGCAGCAGCAGCACTCCCCCCCGCAGCAGCCCCCCTCCCCTCCCGC